AGTCGATTTCAGTTGTATTTAAAATTTCTATAGTGAATCACCTTCACAGATAATTCTTAGAAATGGCAGTGAATCACTTTTAAGCTGTTTTAAGTGCTTAATGTTTTTTAGTGTTCAATGCATTTACCAAAATGCTACTAATTTACGAATGCTGCAAAATATTATTATAGCTTTCATAGACCGTGACAAGTATTTAACTGAGATAAGAAGAAATACTGGAATTTGATATTTTTGGAAATACACTAAGAGTTGATAAGATCATGAAGCAGAATCACATTGTAAAAATGCCCTGAATTTGAAATTAAAAAAAATCAAGGTCCAAGTTTAAGTTGTAGACAGAGCTACTTGTTATAGCTGAATACCAAAAATCATTTTATCTGTAATATCATGAGAGAGAGATACAGAGAGAAGGAGAGAAAGACAGAAAAAGAGGAAGAGGGAGACAGAAAGAGAGAGGCAGGGAGAGGGAGAGGAAAGGGAAGAGGGAGAGACAGAAAGAGAGAAAGCAAGGGAGAGATGGAGAGAAAGGAAGAAGGAGAGGAAGACAGACACACAGACAGAGAAATTTATGTGCAGAGAGGGATGGATACATTTGCATGGGTAACATGGGGGGAGGTATACAGCCAATAACAATAGAGATAATCCATACATAATCAATATAGTGAAAAGGCATGGTGGGAGGAAGTGAGAGTCAGGAAGGCAAGGGTCTTGGTAAGGGTCTTGCCCATGAACTGGGGTAGGAAGAAACACATAGCTTCTCTGGGTTGACTCAAAGGACTAAAATGGGCCAGGGGTTTTGTTCCTCCATGGGGGCCACATGGGAGGTAAGCCAGACGCCTGTGGTACACACTCATCCAGCCTGAGGGGGAGTCCAAATCCCCTCTGTTGAGAGAAGTGAACCCTGCACTGGCAGCCAGGGGCTGTGGCCTGCAGGGTCAGACAGCCCCCCGGGCTTGCGCTTCCTGTGCTGAACGCAGGTGGCTTACCTCTGTAATATCTCCAATGTTGTAGAGAGACAGTCTTCATTGTCTGTGGCTGTGAACCACAGACAGGCTCCTTATCATTTTAGTTCCAGGCAGATTGGGCCTTGTACTCACTGATAGAAAGCCTGTTTCCCTGTTCACTAAGTTGGGCCAATCTATTTTTCATTTAAAATGATAGATTGAGCTGGACACTGGTGGCTTCTTGCTTGTAATCCTAACTACCCAGAAGACTGAGATGTGAAGATCGAAGTTCAAAGCCAACCCAGGTGGTCAAATCCTTGAGACTCTTTTTTTTTTTTTTGGGTCCACTCGTGGGGCCTGAACTCTGGGCCTGGGCGCTGTCCCTCAGCTCTTCAGCTCAAGGTTAGCGCTCTACCACTTGAGCCACAGCGCCACTTCCGGCTTTTTTTTTCCTGCTTATGTGGTGCTGAGGAATCGAACCCAGGGTCTCATGCATGCAAGGCAAGCACTCTACCTCTGAGCCACCTTCCCAGCCCCAAATCTTTGAGACTCTTATCTCCTATTGAGCAGCGGTGACATGAGATTATTATCGTTGATTAACCATCACAAAGCTAGAAGTGGTGCTGCAGCTCAAATGGTAGAGCGCTAACCTTGAGCACAAAAGCTCAGGGACAGCACCCAGGCCCTGAGTTCAAGCCCCAGGTGTTTGAAGCATCCTGAACAAGTGTTCTCTTGGCTTTTTTTGGGTTAATCATTTTTATGCCTATGATTATACATAAATTGTCCTTCCCCCCTGAAAATTAAACACATCATGATGAACAGCTATGGCTTAAGATTGTGTATACACCATGAAGCATATACTGATATTGATAAAAGGAAAAAATTACCTACGAAGGTTATTTCAGATAAAAGGATATTTTATCTTTAAATAGGAAAAAACCTACATATACTCATCATTTAACTTAAATTACAATAGAATCAACGATTGATGTTTTTACAGAGTAAAGTAACAAGCCCTTCTGTACTTAAAAGTAATTATAATGTTCTATTGCTAGTTGTTAGATTTTTCTGTTTTATTTTGTATCTTTCCTTAGTTTTATAACAGGAATAACTTTAGGAAGATAAATTAAGATAGAATAGAAATACAGTCTCTCTAGTAACCATTAATTTTTCTTTTGTTATCAAATGGATTTAATTCTGATTATTTCACAGACCATACATATCAGATATAAGTGTATTAAATTTCAAGGGTTGGTATTGGAGTTTAGAACATGGAATACAAACATCTTGTAAAAAAGAATTCCAGAACATTGAAAGCAGTTTTAGAATGCAAAACCAAAAGGCTCCTGTTAGGAGAATAATTTATCTATTTACCATACTTAAGTCAAATGATTTAATAACTTTCCTATTTCTCCAGAATTCCTAAAGTCTGAACTGAGACTGCTTCCCCAGCTCCTCCTGCCACCTCCTCAGGTCCAAATATAATTTTTCTCACTTTATTGTAGTTATTTCTTCACTATATGTCTTTCCTGAATGATACTAATTTCCAGGAGAGAAAAACAGAGCTATCTTTCCGTTGCTGTATTTCCAGTCTTAGTGCTATCACACTGCAGCTATATTTCTTAAAAATGGTAAAAATTAAATATTACCTAAGCATAAGTGATGCACAAGTATATTTGTTACTCAAAATAACTACTAAAAAAATTCCTTCAGTCAGAGACTAAATCTCATAATTAGGAACTCTTATAAATTTGCCTTTAAAAACTTATAGATTCCTTTTGTAAAGTTAATAAAAACAGAATAAAACATTCATAAAGAAAAAATTCTGTATTCTTTCAACATATAATAATAATAATAAAATAATTTTTCCTTTCTCACAGTGACATGTAAAGATACACAACAGCCCACTTCAACAGACATTACTTAGAATATGGCAGATTGACTCTGGTTCAATATGTCATGAGAATTTTCTTTTTTTTTTTTTTTTGTCATGAGAATTTTCTTGAGGTTCATTCCTATGCTAGCCTTCCCTTCTTCCCAGATTTTGGCTCCTCCTATCTGAACACATTCTTTTGTGATGATGATGAGAATAATGAACCTTAGTTTTCTGGACAACAGTCACAAAATTTTATTAAGGTTTATTAAGGATTTTTCTTATTATGCACCATCAGGGAACTTTACTACTCCCTATGCACTTGTCATAATAAATATTTTTCTTTTTTGGGGGGAGTCTGGTCATGGGGCCTGAACTCTGAGCCTGGGCGCTGTCCCTCAACTCTTCAGCTCAAGGCTAGCACTCTACCCATAATAAATATTTTTACATGGTAAACACCCAATCCTCCCTGCTACCCTCCCCCCCAAAGTTGTAAAGTTCAGATAAAAATGTTCAGATAAAAATAACTCCCACATTTACTGTAGCTCCCAGTGTCCTCTTGAAGTCTACAAAATAATTGCTTTTTGTGTTGCTTTTTGAGAGAGAGAAATGTTCAAGGAATATATGAGTTGGTTTCCAGGCAATCACCCACACCTTTCTCTGATCATTAGGAGTTTTAGCATTTCACAAGTAAAAAACACCACTTAAAAATTAGTATAAAACCTGGGGCTGGGAAGGTGGCTCAGTGGTAGAGCGCTTGCCTTGCATGCATGAGGCCCTGGGTTCGATTCCTCAGCACCACATAAGCAAAAAAGCCAGAAGTGGCGCTGTGGCTCAAGTGGTAGAGCGCTAGCCTTGAGCTGAAGAGTTGAGGGACAGCGCCCAGACCCAGAGTTCAGGCTCCACGACCCGACCAAAAACAAACAAACAAACAAAAAAACCCCTGGATTTTGAAGCTTAGAGTTGAGTGCAGCAGAGAATGATTGGTGAAAGGGTGACATGCCATCAGCCACTGAGTGACCTCTGGCCCCTTGGGCTGGCTGACATCCTAACCACACTGGGTATGGGCTGGCCCCCTTCACAATTTTCCACTACGTGCAATTCCATCTGCTCAATCAAACGGAAACAAAAGGTCCTTGGACCTTAAGAAATTTCCTTCCTGATACTTTCTTACCCCATTGCATCATCGAGAAGAATACATCCCCAGCTCAGCACATAGGAAATGCAACAACAAAAAAAGAAACTATTAAGAGATACACACAGAGACATACTTGTGTATCACACAAAAAATGCCTGATCTGTGTACTAGAAAAGCCATGAAGTTATTAAACATATAGAGTGGCATTACTTAATATATTGAAATTATAAACCTTGTCAATTCACCCATAGCATACTTACAGTCACAAAAACTGCAGATGATTCTCTTTTTTCACTCAAATTTTTTTTTTGTTTCTTTTGTACTAGCACTGGGACTTGAACTCAGGGCATAGGCACTGTACCTTAACTTTTTCTGCTCAGTGCTGGTGCTCTACCACTTGAGCCACATATCTACTTCTGGTTTTTCTTTGGTGTTTAATTGGAGATAAGACTGTAACAGACTTTCCTGTCTGCGCTGGCTTAGATCTTCAGATCTCAGCCTCCTGCATAGGTAGGATTACAGGCCTGAACTACAGACACCTAGCTTTAACAGTGAAATTTTAATTTATTCTCCTGCACAAAATGTTCCAATCATTCCATGCACTCCCACCTCCTCTCCTTGCCACTTGTGTTAAATAAGAAAATGCAGCCATATATTTCCAAAAGATTTTAGCCTTTTTCTTCCTGTGCATGAATTAATTTCAAGGATCTATTACGATAATAAACCAATAAAGGAATCAGAGTTTATTCTGAACATTAGCAAGCTTTAAACTGGAGAGTTTTTCTTCCTTTGTTTTGTGGCATTGACTCATAGTAGAAGTTACGTGACAGCCTTAGAAGATTTTGAAATTTGACCTGTGATGGAATTATTGTTTTCACCTTATTTTTGTAGGATAATATTTTCCTCTTTCACTTCCTGTTTGTGCATCCAAAATAAGCTCGTGACCTACATTAAACATTACCCACTTTGCTTTGCCATAGATTTCTTTTAATTAAGAAGACTTCAGAAAATTTAACATTACTATCTTGCATTTACGAGATGACCACAGACTTAGATGCTGAAATAAGATTTTGAATTGTTTCATGCTCAATATGAAGCTGCGGGTGAGTTCCTAAGACTCCGTAGATGATTTCCTTGTTAAAAAAAATAAAACAAAACAAAAATTAAACCTCCTAAACTGTTACAACTATCAATGGTTGCTTGTACAATATTAAACTAAGAAATTTTTAGAGTTCTATGAACTCTCTAGAATTATATAATTTTTGTCTGATGGCACTAGTGTTTGAACCTAGGGCCTTGTGCTTGCTAGACAGGTGCTCTACCACTTGAACCATGTCCCCAGTCCTTTTTTTTCTTGGATTATTTTTCCAGTAGGGGCTCAAGGCTTTTTCCTAGGCTGTCCTTGGACTTCAACCTTGATTCTCTTGGATTAGCATGAGCTAACTAGGTCCAACCTAAACACAGTATTTTGAATGTACAAAAATCTACAGCTTTCATCAACTTACCAAAGTTGGTTTTCTTAATTCCAAGCAAACTTGTTTACTTCTATGCTTCAGGGCTAATAATATTGAGAAAACAATCAATTATTTGAGGAAAAATAGATTATCAATGAAAAATTCAATTTTGTAATAAAATAATGAAAAAGGTTCTCATGGATGAATTATTAACGTACTCAAGGTAAACAACTATACAGCCACATATGTTTTCCTTCCCCCCAAAATATGTAAAGTAAGCTGGGCAATGGTGGCTCATGTCTGCAATTGTAACTACTCAGAAGGCTGATATCTGAGGATCACAATTGAAAGTCAGCCGGGACAGGAAAAGTCCATGAGACGCTTATCTTCAATTAAGCACCAGGACCCTTCCCCCCACAACACATACATCCCATATACATATTAATGAAATTCTCATCTTCCCTAAGTGCTTACTTCTGATGGCAGAGTTCACATTACACAACTTATAAATAGACCCTATGAAGTTCTTGTAGATTATGTTACTTTACCCTTATTTGATATTATTCTTCTCTCTCGGTTCCTTCCTTTCTTCCTTCCTTCTTTCCTTCCTTCCTTCCTTCCTTCCTTTCTCCCTTCCTTCTTTCCTTCCTCTCTTGCTTTCTTTCTGTCCTTCTTTCTTTCTGTAGAACTTGAGTTTGGACTCAGGGTCTCTTCCTTGTTAGCCATGAGTTCTACCACTTGAGGTCCACCAGATTTTCACTTTTGGCTAAAGGATCTCACTTAATGCCTAGGTTGGCCTAGACAGAAAACTTTTTAGTTGTGTCTTCTCACATCAAGGGGATGACAGGCATGTAACCACCAAACTCAGCGATTGGTGGAGATGAAGTCTCACAAACTTGGTTTTTGTTTTGTTTTGTTTTGGCTTGGGCTAATTTATGACCTCTTAATCTCTGTCACCCAATAAAGCTAGGATTATAGGCCTGAGCTACCATGCCCAGTCTATTCTACATTTCAACCAAACCCAGCTAAGCACATCCTTCTGAATTTCCCATGTTTCCACACCTGTCTGTAAATGGCATTTCTGTCTTTTTGTTCAAAATCTCTATGGAGCAAATGCCTGCCCATCCTCTAACATCACAGACATTCTACTCTATAAATCTTTTTGCTATTATGGCCAACCTATAGAAGGGCAGTTATTCACCTCCATGTCCTTATCCAATGTTAATAATAAATATCTTGATGGGGAAAATGAAGCTATGGCTCAAGTGGTAGAGTGCTCACTAGCCTTGAGCAAAAAAGCTCAGGGACAGCATCCAGGCCCTGAGTTCAGGCCCCTAAACTGGCAACAAAATCTCCAGAATGAACAAAAACAAAACAAATATGTTGATGAATATGATCATATCACACATACCTGATTACTAGGACTGTGTCACATTCATCCCATGGCTTCAATACTGAGCACAGAGACTTGAGGAGGGGAGGACTTCATTAATTAATTAAATAAGAATATTCAAGGGTCAGCAAGAAAAACAAAGTAGAGTGGGAAATGGCTCAACCTTTGTATAAAGATCCATGAATTCACTATTATTGGCATAAAACTCTTAAAGGGATACTTCATTGCCAGGCATCAGTGGCTCATGCATGTAAGCCTAACTACTCAGGAGGCTGAGATCTGAGGACCACAATTCAAAGCCAGCCCAGGCAGGAAAAGTCTATGAAACTCTTATCTCCAATCAACCACCAAAAACTAGAAGTAAAACTGTGGCTCAAGTGGTAGAGCACCAGCCTTGAGCAAAATATCTCAGGGACAATGCCCAAACCCTGAGTTCAAGCCCCAAGACTGGCACACACACAAAAAAGGATACTTAATTGTTCTGATCTGTTGTGAACAAGAGGAAATAATGGCAGCTTCATGCTAGGGAGAAGCATTGCCACCCAGGGAGACTTGGTTTGCACCTGCACCCCTGGGGGCTTTCCTCCCCTAGCCTGTACTAGAATCCTCTTGTATTTCTTTTCAAAAATATACTAATGAGGAGACTCAGGACCAAGATGAGTTCAGATAGACAGGGCTGTTTTATGTACTGTCTGATAAGCTAGTGTTATAAACTTGCAGGTTGGAGTTGATAGCTGGTAAAGTACTGTTCCAAAGTCACCTATGTGATCTCATTTGGTTTTATTTGGATCAGTTATTTTCAAATAAGCAGATGTGAAAAAAACAAAACAGACACTTAAATAGTCCTTATGGTATACTGAGGAGTCTAGCCTGGAACAGAGACTTTCTTCTCACCTGTACCTCGGGGTTCACTTTGAATGACATGAAGACAGGGGCTAGAAGGTTTGGCTCAGTTGGTAGAGCACTAGCCAATGAGCAAAAGTGGCAGGTATAGAGTTTGAGTTCTGGTCTCTGACCTAAAAAAAAAAAAAAAAGACAGAAGATGAGGGATTAGAAATGTGGTAGTAGAACGCCAGCCAGTGAGTGAAAGCATCAGATACTGAGTTCAAATCCTTGTCTCAGACAAAAAAAGAAAAGGATGGAAGATGGTTCAATATAACCAATTATTACAAAATGTTTTGTTTTTCTAAAAGCAGTTATATAAAGAAACTGAAATATACAAAAACCTATGAAATGAAACAGAAAAATATCCTTTTCTACTCTGTGTTGTGTGTGTGTGTGTGTGTGTGTGTGTGTGTGTGTGTGTTTGTGTGTGTGTGTGTTTGTGTGTGTGTGTGTATGTGTCCTGGGCATGAACTCAGGGTCTGAGTGCTGTCTTTAGGGTTTTTTGTTCAAGGCTAGCACTTTACCACTGGTGCCACAGCTCTACTTCTGGTCTTTAGGTAGTTAATGGGAGATAAAACTCTCACAGGCTTGACTTCGAGTTGCAATCCTCAGATCTCAGCCTCTTGAGCAGCCAGAATTACAGGTGTGAGCCAGTGGCACCTGGCAACTTCCCTAGTCTTGTCCCTTCCATGGTTACCACCAGAAATGTACCCTTCCAGAAACCTCTACATTGTATGTGTGCATAATATATATGTATGTGTTGTAAGCCATATTAATGTATTTTAATAAGTATATATAACTAGACATATGCATTATATAAATGCACCTTTGTATATAAATTATAAGGCCATTAATGGAAAACATAGGACATCTTACTTATTTATGTGTGTATACACTGTTTTTTGTTGTTGTTGGTTGTGGGGCCGGAACTCTGGGCCTGGGCGCTGTCCCTAAGCTCTTCAGCTTAAGGCTAGCTCTCTACCACTTGAGCCACAGTGCCACTTACTGCTTTTTCTGCTTATGTGGTACTGAGGAATCGAATGCAGGGTTTCATGCATGCAAGGCAAGCACTCTATCACTGAGCCACCTTCCCAGCCTTGTATATACTTTAATTTTTTTAACTTTATTGTAAAGATGCTGTACAGAGAGGTTACACTTACATGAGTAAGGTAATGAATACATTTCTTGTCGAGCATTGTTACCCCCTCCTTTGTTTTCTCCTACTATCCCTACCCTCCCTCACCTCCACATTCCTCTCCCCAAAATGTGTCTACATAAAATTATTCTTGTATGTTCACATACACACACACACACACACACACACACACACACACACACACACCCCACACACACTCACGATAGTCATTCTGCTATTCTGTGAAAGATTGGTTTCAAGACCCCATGTAGATACCAGGGTCAGTGGATGCTGAGAGCAGTAAAGCTTGACTGGAACACATCAACGGGAAAGTGTGAATTTTGTTAAGGCCACTCGGAGCAAGACTGTAGACTGCTTCAGGTCTCTGCCTCCTCTCCCATGGCATGGAGGAGAAGCCTAGGTATAGACAGATCCATCCCCTGGAACTGATTCCCTGAAACTCCAGGGGGAAGAATCACTCTGTTTCTATGTAAGATGTGAGAGAAGCCGACCACCAGTAGCTCACACCTGTTATCCTAGCCACTCCAGGAGACTGAGATCTGAGGATCGCAGTTTGAAGCCAGCTTGGGCAGGAAAGTTGGTGAGACAACTCCAATAAACTACCAAAAAAAGCTGGAAGTGAAACTGTGGTTCAAGTGGTAGAATATTAGTCCTGAGTAACAAACAAACAAACACAGAGACACAGAAACTCAGGGAGAGTGTCCTGGCTCTGAGTTCAGGCTTCAGGGCTGACATATAAAAAAGGTATGTGGTGGGGGGGTGGGGAGGAGTGGAGTTATATAGTTTTGACTCCATTTAAGGAAGCTTCTAGTACAAAGTTGTTCAAAAGTGGAATGGGCCACTATATAAGGAGATAAATGCTGTGGTATTGGAAATATTCGAGCCATCCTAGATAGGAAAATGCCTTAAGTGGCTTCTATGTCTTGTCATTAGTTAGAATATGACTGAGGGCAGTTCTGTTCTCTACAGCTGACTGCAAATTAGAACTCAACTAAGAGCAGATCTAAAATTCTACAGTATTTTTCTAGCTCTCATCCGCAATCTAATCTCATTGCATGCTTTGGCCTAGGTTTTATAAATAATTTGCTCTAAGTGGGAAATACTCTGCTCTTTAGAGAAAATGACCTTCTGAGAGAGAAGTGCTCATGCAAAAATATTGAATCAAGTAGAATAAAAAATAGAAACATCCAGGAGCTGCTGGCTCATACCTGTCATCCTAGCTACTCAGAAGGCTGAGGTTTGAGGATCACAATTCAGTACCAGTTTGGGCAGGAAAGTTTGTGAGACTCTGATCTCCAATTATGCACTGAAAAGCTATAAGTAGAGTTGTGACTCAAGTGGTAGAGTGCTAGTCTTGAGCAAAAAAGCTCAAGAACAGGGGGCTGGGAAGGTGGCTCAGTGGTAGAGTGCTTGCCTTGCATGCATGAGGCCCTGGGTTCAACTCCTCAGCACCACATAAGTAATAAGAAAAAAAAGCTGGAAGTGACGCAGTGGCTCAAGTGGTAGAACGCAAGCCTTGAGCTGACGAGCTGAGGGACAGCGCCTAGGCCCAGAGTTCAGGCCCCACGACCGGACCCAAAAAAAAAAAGCTCAAGAACAGTGTCCAGGCCCCAAGGATTGGCAGAAGAAGAAAAAGGAGGAGGAGGAGGAAGAAGAGGAGGAAGAGGAAGAGGAACAAGAACAAGCCAGGTGCCAGGGGCTCACGCCTGTAATCTTAGCTACTCAGGAGGCTGAGATCTGAGGATTGCCATTCAAAGCCAGCCCAGGCAAGGAAAGTCCATGAGATTCTTACCTCCAATTAACCACCAGAAAACGGGAAGTGGCGCTGTGGCTCAAGTTGTAGAGCGCTCACCTTGAGCTGAAGAGCTCAGGGACAGCGCACAGGCCCAGAGTTCAAGCACTACAACAGACAGCAAATAAAAAAGAACCAGAAGAGAAGAAGAAAGAAAGAAGGAAGAAGAGAAGGAGGAAGGAGAAGGAGGAAGGTAAGAAAAGAAGAAGAAGAAGAAGGAGAAGAAGAAAGAAGAAGAAGAAGAAGAAGAAGAAGAAGAAGAAGAAGAAGAAGAAGAAGAAGAAGAAAGAAGAAAGAAGAAGAAAGAAGAAAGAAGAAGAAAGAAGAAAGAAGAAGAAAGAAGGAAGAAGAAGGAAGAAGAAGAAGAAGAAGAAGAAGAAGAAGAAGAAGAAGAAGAAGAAGAAGAAGAAGAAAGAAGAAGAAGAAGAAATCAACCACAGTCACATGCCAGAGATCGCAGTAGCACCCAGGGTAACCGTGGTGCTTCTGTGAAGTCTAGAAGCTGAGTGGGACTCCCACCATCCCTGACTGGGGTGGGGAGAAGCAGCTCTTTGCGCTGGGGCTGCCACCAACTCAGTGCAGGGCTGCCATCCATGCTGCCCTCAGAGCCCACTCTGTGGTCTGCTAGTGTTTTTGGTTGTTGTTGTTCCTGTCTATTTTAAGAGCTGTAGAGATTTAGAAAGAGGTGATAAAGTAAACCTCAAGCTTCATCAGAAAGAGGAAGTTGTTGGAGTTATTCTTTTAGGTCAGGAAGAGGCCTCTGAGGTTACATAACCAAGTCATGAAATCCAGAGAACAGATGCTGGAAGCTCAGGGAAAAAAAAGGATGACTGGCTATGGTCAAGTGTGTTTTTTTCAATAGTAGAATATTTAATTTGTGCAAGTGAATAGGTAGTAAATAACAAATAATGGTTCATCTAAAAGGATATCTTTTACTTCAAAACAAAAACAAGTGCTTCATGACAGCATGCGAGAACCCCAAAAGAAGGTGAGAGTTAAAAGGGCGTCCAGAGCATCACATACAGTGTTCCTCCACATTGCATCAAGCTTCTAGGGTTTTCTGGCCATCACACTTCATTGGAAACCCAGGGTCTAGGCAGGGCTGACCATCTATTTGTGATGACCTCACCAAAGCTGTCTTGCACAAACTCCATCCAGAAAACAACCTAAAACAGTCCCTGATCAGTCCAGAATCACGTTCTTTCCAAAAAGCCTATCACTGGTGTTCTGAGAAAAAAAATAGATCTTCCTCTTAAAGTTCTTTGGTCTTTCAGCCTCCAGGAGCGAGGTGAAATCTAAACAAACAAGTTCTATTTTCAATTTGTCTTCTTGAAAAACCATACTTTAACCCACATGAAACCAGTGAGCATGCTTCAAACATTGAAGGCTTCCAGGTACTTTCTGAATTTGCTCTGACTCATGTCTTGCCTACATATTTATCCTCATTTAACAAAATAAAATAAAGTAAACCGGAGAAATAAGGACTCTTCTTCTCAACATGAATGACTTGCTTCTTCCCACATCCTCATCTTTCTTTTTTCCATTACCACATGATACTCTCTCTTTTTCCTTGAAACTGGTAACTAACACATTGGAAGATTTTTTTGACGTAGCATCCAGACTTTTGAAGTTCAATAATTTAATACAAAGTACTGCCAGTCAGGTGTTGTGATCTATTTGGATTTCTTTGTCCTTCTAACTAGGAGATTTTTCAAGTCATGAACTCATCTAAAAACTACAGTTGGCTTCCTGCTGGGAGCCTTTTGGATTAAATATGACTTCCTAAGTCTGGCAAGAGATCACAATTTCTTCCCTCTACCTATTAAAGAACACCTACAGTACTACCCCACACACTTCTTTTTAGGGAGGCCTTTTTCCCTATCAAGATCTCTCCCAACAATTTTTCTTGCTCCTGGTTGCCTTCCTGGCTTCAGGCCTCATTCCCACTCTCTCCCACAATCTCCTCCAAGATCCCGCCTAAAACTGCTTTTCTCAGGAAAGCTCCCCATGTAAGACCAAGTCCTGTCATGTGTCTGAATCATTTCACGTGCTTTATGGTTTTGTTTGGCTCTTGCAGTGCTTCTCTGAGAAAAGGTTGAGAGGTAGGGATACAGGGGGAAAACACAGACACCATGATTCTCCTAGTGCGAACATGAGGATTCA